GGATGATGTTGGGATGATGTTGGGATGATGTTGGGATTTGGGACAGGCACATCCACGGGCGGTGCCCGGCTGTGGGACAGCCCTCACTGGGCAGAGCACCCGTGCAGCAGGGCAGGAGGAACCGGGAGGTGATGGGGAGGCTGGCAGGGCACGGGGGTGCCCCACACCCCCAGCCCCGGGAGGACCCAGCCCTGGCACCCCGACACCCACACCTTTCCCATGGCTCTGCCCCCGGGCACCACGGCCCACAGAGCTGGTGCCACCTGCCAGGGCCACTCCACCTGTGCTGGCAGCACCTAGAGGGGCCCTGGGCCACCTGCACCCCCTGAGGGGCCAGGGTCTGCGTGGGGAGGGGGCAGAGGGGGGCCTGGAGCAGCTGCTGATCCCAGTGGGATCAAGGATTTGGCACCCACATCACACCGGGGAACTTCCCGCACCCACGAGTGGGACTGGGAAGGGAAATGCTCCCCACATTCCCTGCTGGGGGCTATCCCAGGTTTTGGGGGCTCCTTTGGGATTCACTGTGCAGCTCCCAGTTCCACCCCACTGTTGGCTCCATAAGGATTTTGGGAGGGGACCCTGCCCTGGCCGTACTCTGCACATCTACATCCTGGATTTGCCCATAATTGCACTGTTTGCCCTCAAAACACCTCCCCAGTCCTGTCCCAGCCACCCCAGGAGCAGGCCAGGAACGGGAGGATTCCCCCTGCAGCAGGAGCCAGGGGCAGCCAGTGCCTTTCCCACTTTTTATTGCAACAGCAACTGCAGAAATGACAAAAACCAGGGAGAGCCGGAGCAGAGCTGCCTGATCCCCCCCAGGGCGCAGGGGATTCCCTGAGAGCTGGAGTTCCACAGGGATTTGGGGATCCCCCAGGAAACTGGGGGGTTCTTGGAGAGTTGGGACCCTCAGGGAGCTGAGCTCGTCCAGGGATTTGGGGTTTCCCAGGAGCTGAGGAGCCCCTGGCAACAGGAGACTCAGAGGGAGCTGAGAATCCCCAAGGATTTGGGGCACCCTTAGGAGCTGGGAAGTCTTTGGGAGCTGCAGATCCCACAGGAAACTGGACATCATTGGGGGTTTGGGGTGGTCCAGGAGCTGGGGAGCTCCTGGGAGCTGGACACTCCATAGGGAGTTGAGCAGCCCCAGGGATCTGGGAATCTCCAGAAGTTGAGAAGCCCCCAGAGGCTGGAAACCCCCCAGGGAGCATCACATGCATGGCAATTTGGGAGCTGAGCATCTTTGGGGATTTGGGGACCCCTAGGAGATGGAGATCCTGCAGGGAGCTGAGCATTGCTGGGGGTCTGGTGATGCCCAGGAGCTGGGGACCCCACAGCATCACTGGGGAATCCCTTGGGGAGCCCAGGGGGATTTAATGATCCCAGGGATCTGAGCATCACCAGGAGCTGGGGACCCACACCAAGGAGCTCAGCTCCCCCAGGGTTTTGGGGATCCCCAGGAGCCCCTTCCCTGCAGCGGATCCAGGAGCAGCTGGGAAGCAGGAGCAGGAGCAGGGCAGTGGGGCAGGAGGATCCCCCATCATTCTGCCTCCACAGGGATGGGGTTCACCTGCCCCCCCACCTCCGGCTGCTTCTTGCGGGCATCGGGGGGAGGTCGGGGCGGG